AGGGGGTTTGCCCCAAAAACCTTCTCAGTTCTTACAGGACTGCTGTCATCAGGGAACCATGGAATGGGTTGGAAGGGACCTTAAAGCTCATCCAGTTCCAACCCCTGCCATGGGCAGGGACACCTTCCACTAGCCCAGATTGCTCCAAGCCCCATCCAACTGGCCTTGGACATTTCCAGGGATCCAGGGGCAGTTTCTCTGGGCAACCTGGCACAGGGCCTCCCCACCCTCCCAGCCAGGAATTCCTTCTCAATATCCCATCTAACCCTGCCCTCTGGAACTGGGAAGCCATTCCCTGTGTCCTGTCCCTCCATCCCTTGTCCCCAGTCCCTCTCCAGCTCTCCTGGAGCCCCTTTAGGCCCTGAGAGGGGCTCTCAGCTCTCCCTGGAGCCTTCTCTTCTCCAGGGGACCCCCCCCAGCTCTCCCAGCCTGGCTCCAGAGCAGAGGGGCTCCAGCCCTGGCAGCAGCTCCAGGGCCTCCTCTGGACTCTCTCCAGCAGCTCCACGTCCTTGTGCTGTTGTTCCCAGGGCTGGACAAGTGTGCCCAAGGCAGCAAGGTGGGTTATCATTTTTGGCAAAGAATTGAAGGGACCAGAAGAGGGACAATCACGTGATGTAGGAGTAGATGTGAAAGAATCCATGGAAACACAGACTGGGTTGGCTTGGAAGGGACCTCAAAGCCCATCTCATTCCACCCCCTGCCATGGGCAGGGACACCTTCCACTAGCCCAGGTTGCTCCAAGCCTCGTCCAACCTGGCCTTGGACACTTCCAGGAACAGACAGCACACTATAAAGGAGATTCTGATTAGATATTAGTAATAGATTCATTAATTATTATCATTTTTTAACATGAGGGTGGCTCAGCACTGGACCACTGACCCCCAAGATCAACAAGATCTCCATCCTAAATAGGAATTCCCACCCTGACTGGGCAAAATCTTGAGCAAAGGGCTCTGAAGCCGGACCTGCTTTGAGAGAGGGATCACACCCCTCCATCCCAACTCACCCCTACACTCAGATTTGGGTGCTCAAGTGCCCAAGTCACCTGCAAGGAAAGGAAGGGGAGCTGCTGCCATCTCCTGAGGGAACAAGGGCTCACGTGGAGGCCACCAGGACCATCCACCTGGCACCTGAGCAGAGCCACCGGGAGCTCCTGGGCCTCGGCCAAAGGTCTTGCACAACAACAGCTGGGTTTGGAGAGGAAAACACCCCCCACCAACCAGTGCAAAGTGAAAACAAAGGTGCAAAAGCAGCTCTGGTAAATGTTTAACGGGGAGTAAAGTCACCAACAAACCCAGCAGAGTTCACAGATGCTGCGTGGAGTTCGTCTAAATCAGATCTGGAGTTTATCTAATTCAGTATAATTCTTCTTAGGATTTGCTTCTGGATTTGTTTCCTCCACGTTCTTTTGCTGCATATTTTTGAAGCAGCAGCACATTGACACAGTCTCATCTTGCCCCTGATCACAAATATAAACCAGCAAAGATATTTTTAACCCTGTTTTAATATAAAAAAGCTTAATGTGCAGGACGAGAGAGCCCCGGGGGCTCTCAGGCTACGAGGAGTTCAGTCTGTGCAGACACTTGGACTGTGTAAATGTTGGCATTATGCAAATATTTATTGCTGTTAAAAATTGATAAAACCAATTTAAAGCTTCCCCACGGTCCAGTGCTGAGGATTTCCAAGATCATCTTCTATTCAGGGTAAATATCATCTTGTGAACAAACACAAATGAGCATCAGAAGGTCGAGAAAACAAGATGAGAGCAGGGAAAGAACTGAGGGAACCACTCTAAAAAGCCAGGGAGGGAACAAAAACTAGGTTTAGAGAGGGAGGAATTTATAGTGTTTATCAACAAGCTCTGAAAGTTTAGAGTGTCCAACTCAATCCTGCAAATCCCCTGGCAGGGTGCAAAAATAATGGAGAAGGAAATATACTTATGGTGAATAATGAATTTAATACAACCCTCAAAAATTAACAAAATATGAGCACTGCTCTTAAAAAAAATTCTAGTGCCTTCATTTTCACACCAGAGAAAGGTATTTTTCAACAGATGCTTTTTTGGCACTTGATCAAAACGAGAAGCATCTGCCATTTCCTGAACTTGGATTACTGAACACCACAGCTCAGTGCTAATGAAGATGAAATTCAAATGCCATCTAAAGAAGCAATTAATGAAAATAATTGAATTTTTTTTTTCCCTCCCTCCAAAGTGTTATTGTATTGAGCTCACTCTTGCTTGTCCTCAGGCCCAGACTTCCTAGTGATTTACGGAGGATTTTCCAGTCTCAGCCGTAATTGTTAATGCTGTGAACTACTTATAACCCCCACTTCAGAAGCCTATTAATTTTTGGAAAACACACAAGGAACTGCAGGCACAAATCATCATCATTTCACCTTTTCACCAGCACATTCAAAAATCAGCTCGATTAGAGCGAAATGATGAGGAGTCAGGATGACATTTCCTCCTCTTCCTGCACATCAATCAGGGCAGGATACCAGGAGAGCACTTCCAGGTGCCACTTCCAGGTTTTTTTAGAGGTTTTTTAGAAGAGGGAAGGTTGTTTCTTCTTCGAAATGAGGTGAGAACAACATAATAATTCATTCCTGTGGCCTGTTTTGAACCTGGGGTTGTCCTGAAGCTTGGCAGGAATCGTTCCTTCGCTCCAAAACAACTCTGCAACTGCAGCTGAAGGCCAAAAAAAAAAAAAGAAAAAAGCCCACATGTGGTGGCTCTGATATTTTAATCAACTTTTTGTTCCTCTGCTGATCTTCTCTCCCAGAGATTACGAGGATTTTCTAGAACAAACACCAAGTATTTTTAGACCCTCGTTTCACAAAGGAGAGGGAGCCCAGCAGAAGGTTAATTCTGGACGTGGTTACGCAGCCACTTGGAACAAGCAGAGCCCAAGGGGAACCATTAGTTGTTTTCCACGGATAACTTGGGATTATTCTCCTAATTTCAGTTAAAGGAATAAAACCCATAAGGTGGTGGTGTCACTGTGGGGCTGAAGCACAGGAATGCAGGAGTTACAGCGGGGCCTGGTGTGAAATGTTGATCGTTCACCACCATCCACAGACTGGTGTCACCACAGGGATGAGCCAAATTCCTGTCACCCCTTGGAAGAAGGGATATTTTTACATGTGTCAAGTGCTGGAGAGGGACATCTGACAAGGACATGGAGTGACAGGGCACAGGGAATGGCTTCACACAGAGAGAGGGCAGGGACAGATGGGATATTGGGAAGGAATTCTTCGCTGGGAGGGTGGGGAGGCCCTGGCACAGGTTGCCCAGAGAAGCTGTGGCTGCCCCTGGATCCCTGGAAGTGTCCAAGGCCAGGCTGGACAGGGCTTGGAGCAACCTGGGCTAGTTGAAGGTGTCCCTGCCTGTGGCAGGTTGGAAATGGAAGGTCTTTAAGGTCCCTCCCAACCCAAACTATTCCGGGATTCCAAGTTTCCACAAGGTTGTCTGATCCTTTGCTGTTGCTTCTGAACGCATAACAAATAGTTTCAAAACTAAAATATTAAGGTACATAAAGACATATATTTGTATACTGAGATCCATGTGTATCCATATCCATTTGTATATTCAGATCCATGTGTATCCATATCCATTTGTATACTGAGATCCATGTGTATCCATATCCATTTGTATACTGAGATCCATGTGTATCCATATATATTTGGATATTGAGATCCATGTGTCTCCATGTATATTTGTATATTGAGATCCATGTGTATCCATACACATTTGTATATTGAGATCCACGTGTATTCATATCCATTTGGATATTGAGATCCATGTGTATCCAGACACATTTATCTATTGAGATCCATGTGTATCCATACAATTTGTATATTGAGATCCATGTGTATCCATACACATTTATCTATTGAGATCCATGTGTATCCATACACATCTGTATATTGAGATCCATGTGTATCCATACACATTTTTATATTGAGATCCCTGTGTCTCCATATATATTTGTATATTTAGATCCATGTGTATCCATACACATTTGTATATGGAGATCCATGTGTATCCAGATATATTTGTCTATTGAGATCCATGTGTATCCATACACATTTGTATATTGAGATCCAT